AAAAAAAAAGGAAATTGAAAGCATAAATAAAAAGTAGTATTTGAAATTACCTCATAATATGATTTCAACTTTAATAACTTGCAAAAGAAAAAAAAATGTTATTAGATCAAATAAAAATAATTGAATAATATAGAAATTAAAACAAATGAAAAAAAACCCAAGACTTAGAAAGGTAGAAGGGAAAATGTGAAGTAATGTAAAAACAATAAAAGAAAAAGAGAGGTAGCTAGAAAGGGAAAAGACCAAGAATTAAAATGATAGAGTTTAGAGAGAAGGGAGAATGAAGAAAGTTAAAAAGGAAAAAGACAATGAAAGATTTTGAAAGGTAGAAGAAAAGAGAGAATATGAAGCAACGTAGAAAAGAAAAATGGGACACGTACATCTGTAGAAAATGAAGGGAGGATGGGGAATTTTGGAGAAAATGAGATGAGAGGATGTTTGAAAGTTCTATTTCTGACTCCATATATATAAAGAAAGTGTAATCGACAATATTTCTGTTGATTATACTCTGTTAGTTATATTTTGAATTTGTTAATATGTTAAATTTGTTACACCACGAAATTCAATTCTTTTGGGTTAAGTGAGGCGAGATATAGGTATAATCAATAGAATTTCTATTGATTATACTTACATAATCGACAGTCAACAGTGGCTATTGATTATGCCAAAATTTTATAGATATATACATACTAATATTTAACCATCCACTAATAGCATATGTTTATGTATCTCCTAAATCATAAATTTAGTAATAAAAATTTAATACTATCAAATGTGATGAATTTTATTAAACTCATTGATATATATATAAAACAAAACTTAATTTGAGAAAATTAAACTCATTGATATTTTATTATTGATGAATTTTCTATCTTAATCTCTAAGAGTGCCCAAAAGAAGATTGCCACCAGTCTCCAAAAGAAGATTGCCACCAGTCTCCAAAAGCTCATATTTAATTTTGAACTTAGGTGAGTATTTATAGGATTTTAGAAAATCTAATTGGAATAGAACCCATATCAAAATAATAAGCTAGCCACAGATTTAGTGAAAATCGCATAAGAGGTCAACAACTCCAACTAGATGCCAACACCTTCTGTTAAGCGCAATCTGAAATCACCGAGTCGAGTTTTTGGCCTTCCAAGCAATTTTTGTTAATGGTCAAATTACAGTTTTGGTTCTTAACTTCTGAATTTCGCACAAATTAATCCTCAGCTTTCTGATCTTGACAATTTGCTCCTAAAAATTATAATTTCTTCTAATTAAGTCCTTTCTTACATAAATAATGAAAGTTATGTAATATCAAGTAAAATCTCATAAAACTCATCCAAATATCAATAATATCAAGATTAAAAATTCACATTAATATGTATATAAATTTAGCTTATCACACTTCATATTTCCATAGAATAGCTAAGGGACGACGTGCTAAAAATACTATCACAAGTACAATGGGTGATCGTAGATGGGTTGAGCAGCCAGACATGGTAAAGAAGGAGGTGATCTTGTATTTTTGTAATTTATTTCAAGCTGATTCATGGAGACAACCAAGGCTAGGGGCATTAAAATTTTAACAGATTTCTGAAGAGGACAAGGTGTGGCTTGAGAGACCATTTTCAGTGGAGGAAATTGAAGAAGCTTTGAAGAATTGTGATGGGTCTAAAGCTCCAAGGCCAGATGGTTATAATTTCAATTTTATCAAGTTTGTTTAGGACAGCTTACGGATTGACTTTGTGGACTTGTTCATGAATTTTCACTAGAATGGAAGGTTAGTGAAAGAGTTGAATTCCTCTTTTTAAGCTTTAATTCCTAAAAAGTTAAGTCTTAGAGATCTTAAGGATTAAGGCCAATTAGTTTAATTGGGTGTTTGTATAAGTTGTTGGCAAAAGTATTGGCTAACCGTTTCAAGAAGGTGATGTCAGGAATAATTAGTCATGCCCAATCTGCTTTTATAGGGGGCGTTAGCTGGTTGATAGTGTTCTTGTTTTGAATGAAGTTGTAGATGAGGTTAAAAGGAAAAAGAAACCAAGTTCTATATTTAAAGCTGA